TTCAATCTCTAATTTGGTGAATATTTTGTAATTTTTGGTAAAAAGTGATATTTTCGACTTCTTGTTGAAAACCGCAAGTCCAATTGCTTTGATATTACATATATAGGTACTACATGTGGACCCCTCTCAGATTTGTTCATTTGTAATGATATCTTTAATTCTCTAATTTCGGTGAATATTTTTGTAATTTTTGGTAAAAAGTGATATTTTCGACTTCTTGTTGAAAACCGCAAGTCCAATTGCTTTGATATTACATATATAGGTACTACATGTGGACCTCTCTCAGATTTGTTCATTTTGTAATGATATCTTTAATTCTCTAATTTCGGTGAATATTTTTGTAATTTTTGGTAAAAAGTGATATTTTCGACTTCTTGTTGAAAACCGCAAGTCCAATTGCTTTGATATTACATATATAGGTACTACATGTGGACCTCTCTCAGATTTGTTCATTTCATAATGATATCTTTAATTCTCTAATTTTGATGAATATTTTTGTAATTTTTGGTAAAAAGTGATATTTTCGACTTCTTGTTGAAAACCGCAAATCCAATTGCTTTGATATATTATACATATAGGTACTACATGTGGACCTCTCTCAGATTTGTTCATTTTCTAATGATATCTTCTGTTCTTTAATTGCCATGTGCATTGCTAACAGCGGAGCTATCTCAGCCGACAGGCTGCTTGTTTAATGTTTCTAATGGAGTTCGACAGGGAGGAGTAATGTCCCCAGCACTGTTTAGTATTTATATGGATAATCTCAGTGTATCACTCAATAGCATGCCTTGTGGCTGTCTTATTGGCGATAAAATTATAAACAATTTGAGCTACGCAGATGATATGTGTGTAATTGCGCCCTCTATTAAAGGTTTGCGCAAAATGTTACATATTTGTGAGTTATACGCTGAAGAGCATGACATTACCTACAACTCAACCAAGTCTAAATCTATGCATTTCTATGGTCGTAATTGCATGGACATTTGCCCTCCACTGTATTTATATAATAATAATGTTGACTTTGTTGACCAGTTTAATTATCTAGGACATAAAATAACTCGTGACCTGAAAGACGATGCGGACATTGATTGTCAGAAACGTTTATTCTGTGTGAGGGCAAACATTATGCTACGTAAATTTAAGAACTGCAGCAACGAAGTCAAACTTTTGCTATTTAAAACATTCTGTTCTAGTTTGTATTGCTGCCAATTATGGTGTATGTATAGAAAATCTACCGTTAATGCCCTTCGGGTCAGTTATAATAATGCTTTCCGTAAACTGTTGGGGTACGCCCGTGACTGTAGCGCAAGCACTATGTTCGTTGAAAACCGCACAAACACATTTACCAGTTTATATAGAAAGCTAATTTATGCTTTTATGGAACGATTACGAACATCAAACAATACACTTGTGTGTGCCTTGCTCAATAGTGATGTGAAATGGAAAGTCTACCTTAGTGCAGCATTGGACAAAGGTAGTCTCCTGAGTTTAGTATAGTTTTCAAATCTGTATGGTTTGTCATTTTATTTTATTACATATTTGTTTGTATCTTTTTCTTTATACATGTATATGGACTATGTCTGAAATAAAACCATAATAATAATAATAATAATAA